TTGGCTTGTTGTGGCTGTCAGTCGGCTGTCAATCATAGCTCCAGAGCCACACCCGCACCACACCCACCGAGCATTGCCCACTCTGGAGGTTTCTTCAGATTTTGCTTAGGGGCAGAGTAAAGCTTTAGGAATGTGTTTAGTATCTCTTTAAAGTATTATTTCTTTGCTTGGAATGTTCCACAATATGGCATTAAACTCATACGTATCTTCAATTTTCAATAATATCTCGACAAACGTATTCTTCTTATTCTTCTTATTATTACTGTGAACAAAGTTGTTTTTTCACAGATATGACCTGTAACTTTGCATGATAGTTTCATCTGCTGGTCGCCATGGTGACTTCTATAGTATATCTTTATGGGGAAGACTAAGTGACTGCGCTTCACCAGAAAAATTACGGAGTGCATCTTTACATGAATCAAGCAAAACTAATTATATATATATATATTTTTTTTTTTTCACGTATTCTGTTTTTGTTCTTGAACTTTGCCTTACAACATCATCATTTCCCCATTGCGAGTCAAATAATTACTTATCTTATTATCATTGCATATTTACCAGGCAAGTCTTTTTACCCATTTTTTCTTTTTTGTCCATTGACACTGATAGTATGATGCAAGCCTCTCGTTGGTGGGTCAATACTTTAACTTCTTCACCACTGTTGCCCCATTAGGAAATACCACAGCTCGATTAAAAGCTCCAAAAGTCAATGGTGCATAATTAGGGGACCACCACACTTTAAATCCATTATCTATCATTCTTGGCACACACCACTACAACTTCTAGGAAAAGTTGGAATGGTGTTTTTATCGTGTGTGTGTGTGTGTATGTGTGTGTCCTGTTTTACATTGGTCACAGAACCACTCATCTGCTCTCAGCCAATCCTCGACATCCTCTGGGGCGGTTAAGAAGCATGCTTTAAAATGCCTGGAATTGCCATAAAAGTGGAGAGTCCTTTTGCCACATGACGGAAGAGAAAGTGGTAGTATATAATATGGACACTTTTTATATGTAAGAATAAGATAAGATAAGGAAAAATAAAGAAAAATAATACAAATAACTATATATTGTTGCGCAATTGTGGTATATGTCAGATATATCAACTATATAGAACTAGTGACTAGTACTTGGTACAATGAGAAGGTTTTGAGTTGAATTCCCTGGCTAGGTAGGAGGCTCATTCCGTGCCAAATCTCCAAATGTCCCCACTCAGATTTGACAAAAAAAAAATTCTAGGAGGTTCAGACTCCCAAATTTTAGCTCCCAACGCCTTATAGTATTGTCATTAAAAAATATTTTGTCAGCTACCCCCTGAGCTGTTTTGAGCAGTTTTCCAAGAAGCCGCTTTGAGATTTCTGTATCTAAAAAACTATTTAAGGTAGGTTCTTCAAGTTTAAGCTGTGTGTCATGAAATCAGAGTGTTTTCTTAGCTTCTGAAAGTGAATTCATAGTCCATGAAGACAGACACCACATTTTCAAAAATATATTTTGCAAAAATAAGGCAGAACACCAGCACAAATTTTGGATATGTTAAAAACAGACATCCAGTCTTTCTAAAACAGTCCATTTTATGTTGGAGGGTGCTGTCATTTTTTTGGTATAACATGGTAAAATGGCAACAAATTTTGTTTTTCCATTTTTAACACTTAATATCTTACAGAGCGTTTATCACAGGGGGTCATTCTTAAAGTACACAGCATGTGTGGGAAGCTGTATGTTCAATATCAAACCTCTGTCTTTGAAATTGCACTTTCCAGAGTCCTTCCAAAGATGCTCTCATATTTGAAGAGTAGAATTTTCGAGCAAATTCAAACCCCTAGAAATCTGTGATAAATCAAAAGCACATGTGTAAAAGTCTATATTCTACAAGTACATTTGCCAAATTTTAATCCTTGAAAATTTGAAGGACCGACCTTAAATATTTTTTTTCGAAACATCAATCTGAAAGTGGCTCCTTGGAAAACTCTGCTCAAAACAGGTCAGGGGGGAGTTGATAAAATATTTTTTAATGACTAAACAATAAGAAGTTGGGAGCTAATATTTGGGACTTTTCCTATTGAAAAGTGCGTGAAACTCCTAGAATTTTTTCAGTCAAATCTGAGATGGTCAGGTGGGGGCATTTGGAGATTTAGAGTGGAATGACCCTATGGAAGCCCACTGACATGCAGGGTATTGAAGGATGGGTCAGATGTTGAAAATAAATTGTACTGAATGTATTCTACTGAAAACATTTTCCCAGTGAAAATACTGTGTGCATGTCCAATGGTAAGTGACAGTAACTGCAGCCCCGCCCCTTGTAAATGACACAAAGCTCCACACATGTGCGGTGAGAAAAGGCACAGTTAAGTTTGTTTATGGGAGCCTGGCCAAAGCTTGAAGACACCTTGGATGGATCGTCCTCCTCCTCCCTCCTTCCCTCTCTCCTTTTCTCTTCTTAAAAGCCACACACATGCTTCTATGTCTGTTGTTTTTGCTTGTCATGCTTTCTCTATAATATTTCTATTTTGGAAATCATTTAATTATTAAGAAAAAAAAGAAAAATAGTACAGTTACTATTAACATGTCATTCACATTACTTTTGTAATTGAATTTATCTGCCCACACAGTAAATGATTTCCCTTGTGTATAGATGTAGAGCTGTGTGGTTCGTGACTTCAGTTTTATTACATGGAAACACCACATACACACTGTCACTGGTGGAGCAGTTTGTCCACTAACAGAAAATATTAGGAGTTAAATTCCTTTAACTGACAATGCAGGCTGCAGCTGATATCTCCGCTTATTAAACACTTCACAGTTTTGTATTGTGTGATAATGAATCATGAATGAGTTTTTTTTTATGCTTTGTCCGATAGACATGAGAAAGCTTTGAATAAGTATGACCACTACTGTTTAGGAAATCTTTATGACCAGTCACAATCTCTTAAGGTAGATACCTGTATCTGAACCATACTTTTTCCTGTGATCTTTTCCATACTTCTCTTATAAGGACAAATAATTATTATGTTCATAAATTCCATTGAATACAATTTCTTAACAAAATACTTAAATAATGTAGTTTTCATCATTTGTAGTCACGCAGTATTCTAGTTCTCTCCCATCATCCACCAAGCATAAACTCCTATCCTTGTTTGGGCCCCTCTTGCTGTGAGGTGATAGTGCCAACTCTTCAGTCACCAGTATGACTCTGAAAGTGTTTGCTCTACAGGAGATGTTCAGAGACAGGCAGTAAGTCACATGAGGTGAGAGTCTGGACCAGGGCCGAGACCAGGACTCAGATCAGATCTGGACACATTCGTTTGCAGCTGCACAGCCTGTGCTCTCATGAGCCCTGGTCACAAATCCACACTGCAGCTCTCACTATTCACTAGACTATAATTATATAACATACACTATACTGTTGTGGATGGATTTATTGAAAATGACTTGGCAAACAAAACAAAACAGAAGAATTAAGACAACTGAAGACTTATTTTGCCTAAGGAGTTGTGAAAAGTGTCATTGAAGAAATCTGCTTAAGCTTGTCTTCTTGTACTGTTTTCAAATCACTTTTAGTAATAAAATAAGCTGGTCCTCCCAGATCCACTCAGCATTAAATAAACAGTTATATAATACATCGCTTTTCCAGAGACTGTCCAAGTCCAAATGCTCATGCTGAGAGGCTAGCATGCGTACCTCACAGCAAGAAGGTTCCAGGGTTGATTCCTGAGTCGCCCAAGCCGTTCTGTGTGGTTTTCCTATGTTTCTGGTGTCTGAGTGGGTTTCCCTCATCCAACCAAAACAGGCACAATAGGTACAATCCTCCACCAAAGATAGTCCTGACCAAAACTAGTTCAAGATCTGAATATGGATCCTCAAATTGAGCCACCTCAACTGAGATACGGACAGTGGGAAAAACATTATGAACTTAAATCAGCATATAACCCAATTAAAAGTTATAGGCCGAGTGTTATTGCTGCTTCAACAAAAACATTAAATTCAATACAACTGGCCTCATATACAAATTCACAAATAAAGTAATAACAAACCTATAATAAGTCTTACCCACACTGACCTTAATAAACCTTTTGTTATTGCTGACCAACCAGACCCCTATAGCCCTATACATTCCCATGTGTGCTATTGTGACTGCGCTTGGTCACCCATGCATGCATACAGTACATTCCACAGCTTAAACCTGGACATTCAAAGGTACCTCATCTGACCACACACATTCACTAAACCTGCCACTCCATTCTCACATTGGCCAGCGCAGTAATCTCTTTCACATGCAAAACCTTCATAGACCACATTATTACACATACGTAGCTGCATTAGATCTACTTATGACTTTACAGTTGTTTCCTGGACCAGTGTTTTAGGGCATTTTGAAGTCTGGCTGGTGTCCCTGGGTGATTTGCAGGCCAAGCCTCAAAGTTTGTGTTAGGTTCCAGTGGGACACAATCCTGGACCCCCAAATTCCTGGTCATGGTTTGCACTTTACTTAACCCCGTCAATAGTAGATGTGTGACACACTTATATAAACTTATAGGAAGACAAAGGGAGGGGTTTTATTGCATAGTTTAGAGTTGAAAGATCACACATTATTTTATCCACCCTTTTTATTTGTATTTGATTGTGTTTTATATTTTATTATTGTTATATTAGGTTTCATAGGTTTGTGCTGCACCACATCCCCAAATTGTATGACTGGTTTGTAAATTTGAAAACTGACAAAAGCCTTTTCTGATTTTAATTAATTATAGGACATTTCAAAAATGCCTATAGTATAAAATAATAATAATAATTTAATATTAATATTTTAAACCACATTGTATTATTTATCATTTTATTTTAATCTGTCATCCTGCAATCCTACAAACAAATTTGCAACTACGTAGTTTATTTGACGATTTTCCCGCTTTTTCATAATAAAACTCAATTTCCCAGAGTGCTCCGCGGTCACGGGCGCCTACCCTGCTGCTCTCAGCCAATCAGCGCTCAGTCATGTGCGGAACTCCTCAGACAAGAGGGAAGTTTAGTTCGATTTCAGCACAATGAAGAGATATCTGCACATTTTTACACAAAAATATGATCAAACAGCGCCACAGATCCGTAAAAGTCTGAAGTATGATGTCGGTAGCTGTTGTTTACTTGTGGTGAGTTGACTTAAAAGTTAAAGTGAAAGTTGGAAGCGAGTCTGTGAAACTATGACATAAAGCTAAACTAATGTTGAATGATTGTTATGATCAGGATATTAAGTAATTTAAAGTCGTAGTTTGGTATAAATGCCTTATTTTAATACTACATTTTTAAAGTTTTGCAGCTTTATCTTCGTATTATGTATAGCGCAAACCTATGGACCGAACAATAGTGGAAATAGCAACATCTTGTGGTCAATAATTGCATTTTCACGGGCAAAACATGAGTTTTAACATACTTTTCGATAAAACTGGCACTTTTAAAACATGAAACCTACTTGAAACATTAAGAAAAACTATTTGAGGTAGTCAGACTGGCTGTTTTTGTTATGCGATGTGAATTTTCTATAAATGTAAATAATCCAAACTAGAATATTTGCACTTAAATTTGTAGTGACTAATATCAAACAAATCAGATTCAGTTGCAATGTCAACAGTCCTATAATTGGAACAGCAAACGTGCCCTTTTCCCTTAAATCCACAAGCGAAGGGTAGCAAGTCTTCTAAGATAATATTTGCCCCGCTGCTGTGCCAAAATAGCAAAGCAGCGGAGGTCCATATAGCTTATTTTTATGCATAATACAGTGAATAGTAGTGGTGTTGTGATATTAAAATTTCACACTTGATCTCGATACTGAGGAATTCAACGATTACGTACCGATTACGATATCACAGTGAAGATAAGAAATGTTCCTTTTTTCCAATCCTGTCCACTTTATTTCTATAGCACATTTCACGAACAGTTTCCAAAGTGCTGCACAAATACATAATAATAACAACAACAATAATAAAATGATCAAATAAACACTCAGATTTAATCATACTAGTCTTAAGATAATAAAGTAAATTAAACTAAGAACAAAATCATAGAATAGCAATAAATAAATAAAACCATTAAATAAGTAAGTTTTAGTCATTAATTTTTTTTTTGTAATAGTCATTTAAGGGTAGTGCACATTGATCAACAGTACAACTATGTAATATAAGGTTAGTTTCCATCTGTATTCCTTTGCCAGATGTACAGAAGGCACCCTAGAAAGAGGGATCAAAATGAGATAAAACGATCAAAAAATGTAAATAAGTTTGTGCGGCAGCAAAACAGGCAGTCCAGACAGAGACACAAATGTTAAAAGTCCAGATAGAGCAGCACATTGAAACATGAACAGCAGCAAAAGCAATGTTTAACTGGCAGTGTGAATATAAGTAACCTTAAAACATGCAGGTAAGAAGCATTAGTAACACCAGACATAGGACAAAACATGCTTTATTTAAGGCTTTGAAGGCTTATCTTATTTGTATCTTATGTATTTGTTCTGATAAAGCTCAAAATCATACTGAAACTCTTTAGAAATGCACAAATTTTGTCCTTTTTATAGTATCGATACCTGCTCAAATGAATATCTAGTTTCTGTATTAGTTTAGTATCGATTAATATCTGATTTTTGATATTTTTACATCCCTTGTTACTAGTAATAGTGCTGTGTATTAAATAACCCACTATATGCAAACTATAAAAGCTGTATTTTTCCAACTCTGCTTCTCAGGTAAACTTCAACCTCCAATAAGCCAGCAAGAGGCGTTTGTTGTTAATTTGCTTGGCCTTTTTTCCCTCCAAAATTAGTATTTATATATTCACATCAGTGGGCCATAGGGGTTTTCCAGCAGAGATGATGGCAAGACATTAAACAAATCGTGTGTAACAACTTGATCATAAAACTCAACCCCGTGGTGTCCTACAAAGGCCTGTCATTACGGCAAAACACACACACACTATTCCCAGGTTATAGACTGGTCCAAAACATGTTCTCGTACACAACTCCGGGATGTGGCCCCCTACGCCTTTCTCCTCATCATCATAAAAGGTGAAGAATGTGCTGTTTATTTCTCAGTAGGCCTTCGTGAGCGCATGTGTGGAAGAAAGCTGCGTTGCCCCGAGCAGCAAATTTTCATCATTAGACTGTTTTAATAAGTGCTTAACATTATCCATTAACATTAACCACATTAACACACATTGCTTCACTTTATTTTAGCTTTTATTATTACTTCCACTTCTTCTGTTATCCATGTCTGCTCTTGATAGAAAATGTGGGATAAACTAGGCCACACATATGTTCACAAAGCTCAGTTTAAGCTCATGTGGGTTTTGTTTGCTGAAGTAATTTCCAAAATAACTCGTAGAAATAACCTTCAAGTCTTGAAAACAACGTGCTGGAAAAACATTGTCTGACACTTTGAATCCAGAGCTAATGCTAGAGTTTAGCTTCTTACGATATTAACATTTTCGTATGTTACAAATTATGTTTGCAATTGATAATGGCCATTGATTACATACTGCTAATGCATTATAGTAATTAGAACTCTCTAAAATGTATTAAAATTGCCTATTGTGTATTTTTTTTTATTTATAAAGGATGGCAAACCTCCAGTAAGTGTTGAAACTGCTTTAGGGGTGAGCAATAGTTATACAACACATGACAAATTATATTATATATTCAAATGTAATATTAACCTTATACAAATACATCTGTGTATAATGGGTGATTTGTAGGGCTGGGTATCATAAAGTAGTTGCCGATACAATACATATCTCGATACATAAGCCACAATACGATACATATCCCAATACAGTGCACTTTTGATTCGATACGATATATTTCAAATCGATTCCATACAGTTCAGTAAAAAACAAAGGCTAAATCTTGACTGTGATTCTAAAAGTCTTTGTTAAACCACTTCTTGTGCAAAGTTCATATGAAACACAAACATTTTATTCATCAAAACAGTGAAAATGTCAAATGTGTCACATTAACAAGTTTTCTTCCTCTAAACAAGCAACAAAACTGTAGCTGTAACAAAATAATTTAGTAAAATATTCCAAACAATACTCTTGGTGATGTATCGCTACAGCAGTGCAGATATCGATACTGTATCATCACTTTAAACGATACGATATATCGATATTTTGATATTTTTGCTCACCCCTAGTGATTTGACACGGCCCTACTATCAACTTCTCTTTTGACTTCTATATACTTGTTCTCTAATGCATGTGATTCTTCTAGTATAACAGTTTATATGATTTTCCCCTTACATTTCTATGCTCTTAGACAAGTTTAAAATGTGCACAATGAACTGAATCATAGTAAAACATAATTATAATTGTTAAGTCCCAACTCAACTGGCTTGTTCTAATGTAAATCCCTGTTTGAATTGCCTCTATTTGTTTCTCTCTTTCACAGATTCCCTTGTAAATCCTCTTCTTGAAGCACTATGTCTGACCCAGTGAGCCAGCAGACCCCTGACCCGTCTCAGAGGGAGGTGGAGGTCCAGGAGCTCCAGCGGTGGTTGGAAACAGTGAAGACTTGGGACCAGACTGACAGCGCACAGACTCGTAAAGACATCTGTCTACACTTAAGACCACTGAGGGATTTCCTGCACAAACTTCAAACTTACATTAACAGCATGGTAAGAATCAGGATCATTTATTATTCAGCTGGAGCTACACAATGTATCACAACTGAATCAAAATTGCAATTTGAGTTGTTACAATTATCAAATCACAAAGGGTGCAATTATTTAGATGTTGTAATGTTTCCTGTCTTATTTCCTGAAAAACTTGGACCTGTAGTTTAGACCTTTATGAATTATGTTCTGTAATTCGTGGAATTCTTGTATTGGTTTATCAGTTTATCATATTTCAGTCTCTCAAAGGTTAATGTCCTGGTGTCGTTTACAATGTCCACTTTGAAGAGAATCTTTCTAAACATAAATTGCAAACCTAATCGCAATACTTGTCGAAAAAAATTACAATTAGATTATTTTCCAAGCTCAAATAATAAAATAAGCGATATATAAAAGATGCTTTACAACACAAATATTAAAACAGTGAATCATATAGAGGAAAAAAATGCAAGAGATTTTTCTTCAAGGTGGAGAGTTCTGTGTAAAATTAAACTAATTTCAATACATTCAATATATTTTATCACTAACATTGTCAGAGCAGTGGTGATTATTCTTGTCTTAGAAAAACAAAATGTTACACTGGTGAAAATATAATATTGGAATGGGACTAAATTAAAATGAAGGGAGTAACTGATGGTTGGTAGTTTTAACCCTGCTTGGTCCAGTTCTTGTACTCGTGTCCTTAGGCAAGACACGTTAGTTTGTGAATTTTGTTCACTGGCGATGGCAATAAAACTTGTCTGATTCTGAAAAATACACTTTGTAGGATTAAGCTTTGACTTTATAGACTTAAATGTCCAGCTACCTTCCCATGAATAAATTGCAAAGTTAATTCCTACATGAGCAAATCTACTATGTAAGCATACATAAATTCCTTCGCTGGCTCTGAGTCCAAGGTCAGGTCTGAAAGGTAGGTTCTGGTCCAGTCTCTAACAGGGCTGTCTCTGTGCTGTTTGCTCCATGCACACTCTGTCCAGTCAGCTAACAGGCGCTAAGGGACCTCAGTGCTAACCTAATGTATCCCCACATCTGCCTTAGCTAATGTGGGAAGGGGCAGGGGCAAGAGGGCTGGCCACAGCTCTACAGATTTCAATCTCTTTTTCTCAATGTGACCATTTCTCAACATTTAATTATGCGAGCCCTGCTTTTTAGCCCTGATGAAGACCACATAGGTTGAAAAAATTTTGTAATCAGGTTTCCTCGGACACTTTATTCAAGCCCCATTGTGTTAGGACAGTAAGAGGCTGATCTTGTAATGTAGTGTTAGTGCTGCAACAATTAATGGACTACAAAAAGTTGACGTACAATATATACACGTGAACTAGGGATGTAACAATAACCGAAATATCGTGTTATCGTATCGTCAGAGTTCTCACAATAATATCGTGGACCATCACAATATATATCAAAGTGTCTTTGCTTAAATTAAGAGTTATGGTGCAGCAATAGCAAAAAATAAAAAATAAAAGACAGAACTACATAGACCATTATCCTTTGCTCCATTTCAGTGCAGACTACATGAAGAAATAACAGTTCTAAGTACTTTTAAGTCTTAGTTCTCTGGATTAAGTCTTGTCAAGGCATTTTAAGAGGGAAAAGTCGCATATTAACAGTTTTGTTAGCCTCCACAAAATATTGCAATAAATATCGTACCGTGAGATGTATATCGTGAAAATATCGTACCGAGAGATCTGGATATTGTTACATTCCTAATCGTGAGCCTCCCCACCATATCGTGAGCTTTTCCATGGTATCGCAATAAATATCTTACCGTGAGGTTCATACCGTGACGATATCGTGAGACGTAAACGTATACCCAAATGTCAAAGAGTAATATACAATTTCTGATTTTCATTAATAATAAAATGAATAATGTGTTTTGAAAATCACAATTTACATTAGAAACATTATTTTTATTGTTTACTAGTTGACTACTAAAATAATAATTTGTTGTAGCCCTAAATTATACAGGTTTTTAGTCCATTATTGATGTGAATAGGTGTCACAATGGAATTAATAGAAATAGCTTTTAATTAGCAGTAGGAAGCAGAATGGATATCAGCCACGTAGGGCACCCCAAAACAGACCCTCCCCCCTCCAGTCTGTCCAATCAGTCCAATCCCACATGGTACTGCTCGTGTGCATACATCTGCATTTGAGTTCTGGTGATTCAACTCCATAGGAATGTTCATTTACAATCGGATCTTTGCAATATGCGGAGCTGGAGACCAAAGTGCCCATAGGAACGAGAAACAGAGCGCAATTATTATAAACTACCACTGCCAGCCCCTCTAATCAAAGCCTTGTCAATGTAGTCCAAAATGACAAAACGCCTGGAAGTTCCTGAACCCTATATCTACAGCAAATTAGAGGCAGGCATCTGACACAGGACCGAGTGGTGACGTAGTGGGCGATGGAGAAAATGGACGTTTTATAGACAGTTGTGAGTATTAAAAGTGGAAAATGTATTCGATAAAAGAATAATTTGTTCTTGACATCACTAAGACCAAATCAAAGAAGAGATCCAAGAATAAGTTACTATAGAGACCAGAAAAACATGGGTAGTGTGTAAAGTCTCCAATCTGATATGACAGAGCAGTGTCCAGTTGGTTCTTTTAACTGTTCAGCCATAAAATAAAATAAAAAAAACTTTTCAGTGAATCATTTCCTCAAAGCTGGCTTCTGAAAAGATGACCAATCCAATCTTGCATATTAAAATCAAATAAATTATTTTATTTATTCTGGGAGCACCAAAAATATAATTAAAAAAATGTGGAAGGATTTTTTTTTTTCCCATCTAACGTAGCCAAATGTGCAGTGTGCTGTGAGATGACGATGAGGGAACGCCTCTGCATTATAACCAATGCTGACTGTCCCTGAAAGGACTGACTAAACCCAGTCTAAATCCGGTCTAAACCAGGTCTGAACTAGGTCTGAACTAGGTCTGAACTAGGTCTGAACTAGGTCTGAACTAGGTCTGAAGTAGGTCTGAAGTTGGTCTGAACCAGGTCTGAAGTAGGTGTGAAGCAGGTCTAAACCAGGTCTGAACCAGGTCTGAACTAGTTCAGAAGTAGGTCTAAACCCGATCTCAGCCAGGTCTGAAGTAGGTCTAAAGCAGGTTTTAACCAGGTCTTAGCTAGATCTAAACTAGGTCTGAAGTAAGTCTGAATTAGGTCTAAACCTGGTCTAAACCAGATTTTAACCAGGTCTGAACTAGGTCTGAACTAGGTCTGAAGTAGGTCTGAAGTAGGTCTGAACCAGGTCTGAACTAGGTATGAACTAGGTATGAAGTAGGCCTAAACCCAGTCTAAACCAGGTTGTAACCAGGTCTTACCTAGGTCTAAACCAGGTCTGAACTAGGTCAGAAATAGGTCTAAACCCGATCTCAACCAGGTCTGAAGTAGGACTAAACCAGGTTTTAACCAGGTCTTAGCTAGGTCTAAACTAAACCTGAACTAGGTCTGACCTAGGTCTGAACTAGGTGAGAAGTAGGTCTAAACCCAGTCTAAACCAGATTTTAACCAGGTCTTAGCTAGGTCTAAACCAAGTCTGAATTACGTCAGAAGTAGGTCTAAGCCAGGTCTAAACTAGGCTTTAAACTAGGTCTGAACCAGTTGTAAACCAGGTATATAAACCAGCTTTAATCACTATCCTATTTGCTCCTTAGATACTATACTTGTTTTGTTTTTTATTTTTATTTTTAGCTTTCGTTTTATTTCCCTCTTAATGTTTGTGACTTCATTTCATTGCAGTGAAATTAGAAGTTAAACTCTAAGATTTTAAATGTCATCTACTGTACTTTCATTGGACAAATGATAGACTCTGTACAAAAAGCTGTTAAGTCTTTTTTACGCGAGCTAAATGTTTCCAAGAAGCAGTGTTTTTATGAGCCTGGTGCCAGTAAAAGAGAATTCATTTTTATCAAAGACATGCCATTCTCCAGTCTCTTTTAGAGGAACCTCCACACTGACACATTTTCACACACATCTGAGGGACGTTTATATTGAATCTAAGCTATAAGAAAGAAAAAAAAAATCATAGTTATGTGAGCAGTGGAGCTATGGAATATTACTTCACTTGTGAGAATTTCTTATGAGAATACGCTGTACCAATTTTGATACCACAGGGTAAAACACACCCTTTTTAATGAACAAAACATCTACTCCTCAGTTTCCATATAATCACACTTGTACAATATACTAATTAGAGCTGGGAATCATTCAGAAGTTGCCGAATACGATACATACCTTGATACATAGGCCACGATATGATACATATCTCGATTCAGTGAACTTTCGATTCAATATGATATATTTCGATATGGTTCAATAAAAAAATAAAGGTTAAATCACGGCTGTGATACTAAAAGCCTTTGTTAAACCAACTTCTTGTGCAAAGTGAATATGAAACACAAAACATTTTAATCATCAAAACAGTGAAAATGTGAAGTGTTTTGCCTAAAAGAGTTTCCTTCCTCTGAACAAGCAACAAAACTGTAGCGCTGTAACAAAATAATTGAGTGAAATATACCAAAAAATACTTTTGGGGATATATCGATACAGCAGCCCACGATACCGTTACTGCATCATTACGTTAAACGATACGAGATGTTGATATTTTGATATTTTTGCACACTCCTAATACTAATCATTGTCTCTTGTGTGTTGCCTTAAAAAAGTTCGAAGCTATTCAATACATATCTGGTCATTTAAATATGTAGTATCTGAAATGCATATTTGTAGTAAGTAGTGGTGTAACAATATCCAAGTTTCACGATATGATAATGTCACGGTATGAACCTCATGGTACGATATTTATTGCAATATCTTTGGAAAGCTCACGACATGGTGGGGAGGCTCACGATTAGGGATGAAACAATATCGAAATAACTCGGTATGATATTTTCAGGAGATACATCTTATGGTACAACATTTATTGGGATATTTTGTGGAGGGAAACAAAACTGTTAATATGCTACTTTTTCCTCTTAAAATGCCTTGACAAGACTTAATCCAAAGAAATTTTACTTAAAAGTGTTTAGCATTGTTATTTTTTCTTGTACTCTACACTGAAATGGAGCAAAGGATCATGGTCTATGTATTTCCCTCTGTCTTTTTTAGCTATTGCCGCACCATAACTCTTAATTTAAGCAAAGAGACTTGTGATTCGATATATATTGTGATGGTCCACGATATTATTGTGAGAACTTTGACAATACGATATCACGATATTTCGGTAATTGTTACATCCCTAGTAATAAGTACAAATCTACATGATTGTTTTATTTTTTTCTACTAACCCAAATGCTGAGCAATGTTTTTTAAGAATGCCTAAACATAAAGTAGACTGTTGAGACATTAGTTGGTCTTCTATTTTAAATTCCTTTTTAATTTAACTTCTAATTTCAAAATGATTAATCACCCATCAGTCCAAACACACACAGTAGGTACAGTCTTCCAACGAAGGTAGTTCTGACCAAGCCTTTGGCCTTGGACTTGCCAAACTCTACTGACCAAAAGGTAAAACGTAGCTGTTAAACTAAACTAAACTATACCGCTTCATGACATCACAAGGTGGAACACAGCATTTTTGAGCTTTGGAGATGTAGACAGACTAATAATAAAGGGTTACTCAAACATGTGTGAATGAAATAAAACCTAACTCCAGATCTGTTTTTGATGAGGTAGCAACATTATAACATCACTTAAAGTTCACAAGAGTCAGTGTATAGGACCTTTAATCTGTTTTTGCTCTTTTTGCAGGAATGATATTAACATACTTTTTTACTATACACCCAATATTGCAATTTTATACGTCCAAAACACAAATTGCAATATTTTTTTTACGCATTTTTCAGAATATCCCCCACGTGTTATCTTCCACCTTCTTTTGTTAGATGTTGCATGAAACACCAATTATCTTTTGCTTTGGCAACAGCACCTTAGCTCCATAAAAATTACACATGTGAGTCTGTGTGGAGATTCTGCTGCACCTTGTCATGCCTGGACTTCAATTATCCCCACACTGTAACCTATGACGAGGGCCTGTTAATGTATATGGCGTGAATAATCAAGTCTCACTGTATGTTTGTCTACGCAACCATGATCCACGCACATGTGCTCGTAAAATGAAACGTCGTCACATGTTGAATCAGTTTGTATCTAGACCAAAGCTAATGTGGATTGTGTTGTGTTACTTTATCCCATGTGGTTTAAAGTGGCCTCATGTTGCTTGAATGTTAAAAGGAGATGTATTATGCAAAAAGGACTTTTATGAGCTTTGAGCCGAGTTAGACTTGTTTTTCCCCTCGTCATATTTTGATTCATACATGTTTGAGTAATCCTGTATCGTTCTGTATTCGAGGTGTCAGTGCTTGTAAAATTGCAGTGTTCACTCTGTCCACACTTATACTTCACTGTTTCTCATAGAATTTCAAAGTCACTTATTGCCTGTATTTCATATTTAAATAATGCAATATGTCTTTTTTTTTTTTTGGTTGGGGGTCTGTCACTTACTTGTTTTTATAGATATGTTACTACACTGCCTGGAATGTGCACAAAATGACATTAAACAGTTCTGCCTTACATGGATTCAATTGCATAACATCTCCACAGAGAAAAGCATTTGACCAGAAAAATTACACAATGCACCAGAAAAGCTACAGTACACAGTAGGGATGTGCATGATTAGTCGATTTATCGATAATTGATCATTAAGAATTTCATCGATTACATTTATTTTAATCGACAAACTGAATGTAGGTTGCTGTGCGTAGCGTAGGGTGACCAAACAGGGGTCCGTACATGTAGCTCTCTGCACTCAGAAGGAGCGAGCAAACTGAAACAGTCGGTCAGCCTGCAACGTGCCGAAGCGCAAATGCGTATTTAACGATGACTTGTACAAGAAATTCCACCCTTTCCGTTGCATTAGGGACAAGTGTACAAAGCAGCACATATGTTTCGGTGTCCAGTGGGAAAAAGCTTTACCAGGTGAGAGTAGCACAATGTCGATGACGAGGACCCACCTCCCAACCCCCGTACGGTGTCCCGGTTTTGAAAAACGCAAATATGGTCACACTAACCTGTATTCCACTGAGTCGAACAGTTTTTTCCTTCGTTTAATTTATGCAAATTATCCATTTTAAGTTTTCAGTTTCGTTTCTGTGAGACTTGCGCAAAACTGCATTAAACACATTATAATCTCAAACGGGCTGATGTGGCTCTAGAGTGGTTACGGTTTATATGTCGTAAAGTTGAATTTATTTATGCAGATTAGTAGTGCAGATAGTAATAATAATGATGATCATTTTAATATAAAAATGTTAATGATTAATCGATAATCGATCGTTAATTCTTCCGACGATCGATTAAGAAAATTTCATCGAATGCCCATCCCTAGTCGTGTCACATCAGCGTACAAGAACTGTTTTTTCCTTCGTTTAATTTATGCAAATTATCCATTTTAAGTTTTAAGTTTCGTTTCTCTGAGACTTGCGCAAAACTGCATTAAACACATTATAATGTCAAACGGGCTGATGTGGCTCTAGAGTGGTTACGGTTTATATATCGTAAAGTTGAATTTATTTATGCAGATTAGTAGTGCAGATAGTAATAATAATGTTGATAAATTTTAATATAAAAAAAGTTAATGATTAATCGATAATCGATCGTTAATTCTCCCGAAGATCGATTAAGAAAATTTAATCGAATGTCCTTCCCTAGTACACAGCGCACCTTTAAGCTACCTTTTCAAACAGTACTTTTTATGTGACAATATAAGGAGCAACAAAGTGAGATTTTGTTTTGCGAATGTTTAGTCCATGTTCTTTTTAGCTGATGGAGGAGAATTTTAGACTATTGGCGGCCACCATAGACTACTCTGTTAATCGGAGACACTGTACTTAAATGCAAATCTTTGAAAGATTTTGAATCTGAGTCCAGAATTGGGTAAAACATCTAGTTTAGCCTTTTGTAAATTAAAACACTAGAAATTAAAATCTGCTGCTTTTTATCATCGAATACCATTATGAAGAGAATTAATTAGGGTGCTTGATTATGGAATTTTTTTTAATCAGGATTATTTTGGTCAATATTAAAATTAATTTAAAAAATATTTAAACTATTATTGTTTAGTTACACAATGCATTTATTCAGTATTTCTCTCTCCAAAAAACAAAACAAAACACATTGTTATTGATAATTTACGCAAAACTTTCAAATTGAAAATAAATATAGGCTACAAATAGTTGTCTAGAGCAGTTTTGTGAACATAAAATTAATATAAATATACTTCACACATGAAATAAGGCATAGAAAAACATACATGTATCCAAAATAAACTATATATCCAGCTGGTTTGCAATCTCTTTGTTTAAAAATAAAATAAATATACTTGTTATAAGTTATTTTGAGTATTCTGACATACAGTAGAACTTTCCAAGCAAAGCAATAACAACTCCTTTGAGACAAGCAAGTGGTAGGCACTGCTAGAAAACTGACGTACTGTAGATGCGTTCAAGATGTATTACAAGGTCTTATATTATTCCTCAACTGACCCTGAAGTAATTAAAAGTTATAACTATAATTTGGAACAGTGACTCAGGAAATTATTAAGATCCAGGTTTAACTTTCCTTGTCCTTCCCTTTTTTTTTTTTTAAAAAATCACCCTTCTTTGGAGACTCATTCTTTACATTTTCTGCATTTTTCCGCCCTGTTGTCTGTAATCTCCGAGGTTTCAATTGCCGTGTCTGTGGAGGAAACTAGTGTGAATGGTTTAATTGGCTGTGAGATGAAGTACATCTGCTGGTTTCCTCTGAACAGGCCCGTGCTTCACCCTTGGGCGATGGCACCCTCAAACAGAGCACTGGTCTGCACCGCGCGGGGTTCTGGTCTTTGTTCGTCTCACTGTCAATATTCTGCTAAGAGTTAGGGTGACCTTTGCCAGGAAGTGATCACCTTTTATACTGTATTTTAGGGCTGGGTGTGATATAAAAAAAATCTCATAGTGATAAATTTCTATTAAATATTTTCAACAAATAAAAATAGATTTCAGTATTAATTTCCAAAACATACACCATACAGACTATTAATCATTGACATTTACAACAAAAATAGTCACATTTCTTCCTCCAAATTCTGAACTCCGCTCCAGACCACATGATTTTGGAGAAACTTTTGATTAAAATGATCCAAGCTGATCATTGATGATTACAAGACTGAAATTTTGGGCAAAAGGTGCACATCTACCTTTAATTTTAGTTATTTGAATTGACTTTTTATCAATGACGTGTGGTGCACATAAAACAATGACCTACACACTAACAAGGAAGTATTTTTGTACCAAGTTATAACAAGGTTGCCAATTTCCAGAAGCAAACTTTGGAAAATTCAATATAAAAATAGCTTTAATCACATCTGGTCTATTCTGTTGACATTTTTGAATCCATATATAATCATATTCATTATTAAGAGATTGAAATTGTGTTTTGTGTTTTAGACTTCCACCACAGAGGCTCTGAGGAGGTTACCGCTGTTGGGTCAGTTCTTAGGCAGGCTTTGCTGGATCCCACACGTCACTGCAGATGGTGAGTAGACATTTAAAGGTCCTATATTATGTAAAATTGACTCTTGCCAGCTTTAATCCATGTTAGAATGTTGCTACCTCCTCAAAAACTTACCTGGAGTTGTGTTTTGTTTCATTCACACGTTTCAGTAACCATTTATTATTAGTCTGTTGGCATCTCCAAAGCTCAAAATACTCTATTCCACCTTAACAGCTGTGTTTTCTTTTTGTGTTAAACGTGTGAATGAAACAAAACACAGCTCCAGGTATGTTTTTGATGAGGAAACAACATTATTATTATAACATAGATCAGAAAATAGAGCATTATGGACCTTTTAACACTGCACTACCTCTGAACATGCACCCGACTTCATTTACTTATTTTGAACAAACACATAATTCTTGTTGTTGCAGCCACAAGTCGATCGCTGCTGTTCCAGTGTCTGTGGGGGATGTACTCAGAGGAACCAGAAAATGCTGTGGAGGCTAAAGCTAACCAGTGGATACGGGTATGTTTTTAATAAAAGCTGAGACGATGAGGTTTCTGTCACAAAGGGTGGTAAGATAAGATAAACTTTATTGTCCCACCAAGGGAAATTCATCTTGGGTGCATAGACATGAAATAGACAGAAACTTTACAGATAACAGAATAAAAACAGAGATTAATGAATTGCAGTCACTTGTTGGGCTGTCGCAATAACCGCAAAAATGAATCACCGCGGTACTAAGAGGCCCACTGCGGCGGATGTTGGGCCACCGTGATCACCGCAGATCAACGTGACCCAATCCAGAGTCCAGGTCAATTTTTAGAGACCCGTTACCACCCAGGACTAACCCAGGACTAACCCAGGACTAACGCAGGACTAACCCAGGACTAACCCAGGACTAAGGTGCGTCCACGTAGACCGTTGGGTGACCGCAGGCGAAAGGACTGCCGCAGAGCTCCGCGCCGCACGGAGGTAAACGCTGCCGTCACCCAATCGCGCTTTGCGGTCACCCTGCTCCGCGTGCTTGTGATAGGGGCGCTCTCTCTTAATTCTTTCTCTGCAGAAAGTGATGGATCCGTGCGCGGCTGTCACCTGATGATACGAACTGAAAGAAAATAGTGCCAAGCGATTATGAGGTCTGACTTTTTAGGCGACGATGGTTTGTGATGCAAATGTATCACTCTTTTGAACACATATTGTTTTGAGAAGAAAAACGCTTTATTATACTGTCCCCAGCCAACTTGCCGAACTACTTTCGTCAGCACCGAAAATGGCCAGTATCTCGGCTCACCGGACGCTGTCGGGGGTAAGTCAGTGTTGATGCAGGGCACTGCTCACGGGGATGCCATATAGATTTATGTCAAAAATCCCGAACTATCCTTTTAAATCTGTGGGTACCTGAGCCAGTGCAGGACTCTGACCCGAGCTGCCGCAGTGAGAGCTGGAGAGATGCAGCGGCACTTTTTCCAAAACCAAATGTTACTTCACCCACACTACACACGCTATATCCACAGGACAACCAAGATACATGTGCATCTGCGCAACAAGTGCATCATCAGAGAGAGTTTTCTGAGTCGCTGGAAATATTATAACTCTGGGGGATCAGGGGTGGAGGAGGGGGTGCGGTATCATCACATATCGCGCTGTTGAGCCGCTATATCGCACCACAGGAGAAATTCCCTAATAGCGACAGCCCTAGTCACTTGTACAATTTAGTGCAGTTCATAAAGTACATACATTTGTAGTTGTACAATGGTAGCACTGGTAGCCTAGATGTTACACAGCAGATGGAGCATATTATAGGCAGAGTGTTGGTCTGAAGGGGCTGGTTAATAAAAGGGATCCATAGCTACAGGCCTCCTCTCCACCCACCTACAGAAGGCAAAGGGAAGTAACAGCACCCAAAACCATAACCACTGGGAGAGTTGAGTGGGTGTCTATTAGGGTTGTGAATCTGGTTTATAGTTATCATCTACGACATCCGTGGGTCATTATGCTAGAATTTGCACATTTTAAATTGCAATATTCATCTAAAACGACTTAATAAAACAATGATTGCGGCGTTAGAAAACTGCAGTGTCTAATGGAAACTGATGTCGCGGTAAACATAATCACAACAAAAAGCCTTGAAGTTGTGGATAGTTGTGCATTAGGCTAGTGAGCAGCCGATTTGTAGTGTACCAAAGTGTACCAAAATGACTATGCTGGCGAATCCTACACATATCAACAATTTAACAAAATAAAATTGGAGAACAAAGTAAGTACAGGGCAGTGGCCGCGGGCTGATGGGCAACATGGCGTCTTGAAAATAAGCGATTAAAGATTGCTCAAACATGCCTGAATCACTCCAAATACAACTTCGAGAGGGTAAATGAGAAGGGAAAACCACTATAACATGGTTAAAAGCTCTGAAAAGTCGATTTTTCATTATAGGTCAGCTTTAACTGTACTGTGGCTTTGTTCACATGCACACTAAAATCTGATTATAATCTGATTTGTGAACCTTTAAGATGTTTTAAATTACTTGCAACCTGCAAAATCTGATGTTAGTAATCAAAGGGACCATGATCAGAAAGAAATGAGATGATTTAGCTGTTTACATGTCATTTTAATAGTCTTATGACTCCAAAAATCTGATAATGATCGGAGTTTGAGTGTGCATGTAACCGCAGCCACTGTTTATTTTGTATTGAAACTATTGCTGTTTTCTGCTGCAGTGTCTTTTCCAAGGGCTACACAATTGTTCACATGAAAACAAAAGATTCTGTATTCAGCTCCACCAATCATTCAGAAAATAAAAAACAAATAAAAACACAATAAATAATAATTAAAACAATAAACAGACAAAAATAAAATCCCAAACAATAAAATATTACAAATAAAATCAAAGCAATTTGTGCACAGTAAATAGCAAAGCATAATGGACTCTAATGAAAATAATGACTTCCATCTCTCGACCTCTTAATTCACATATTTTTTTATTTAATGTAAAATATGCCACTTGCTCAATCACATTTTGGTTTGTTGTATAGCAGAGTGGTTTATGATTAAATGGTCCATATTGTGCTATTTTCTGATCTATGGTATAATGTTGTTTCCTCATTAAAAACATACCTGCACTATGTTCCACCTTGTGATGTCATGTGGTAATACAGGAGGTGCTCCAGTCCAGAATCATCTGGATGATTTCAGACCAGGAATGACTGATCTCTGCTGAACAAAAGGTAAAATGTAGCTGTTTACGTGAAAATTAGTACTATGTGAAGTCACAAGGTGGAGTAGAGCATTTTGAGTTTTGCAGATGTACTTAAACTGGTACTGAAGGGTTACTCAATGTGTGAATGAAACGAAACACAACTCCAAGTATGTTTTTCAGGAGGTAACAACATTATAACATGGCTTAAAACTCACTTGTGTAATGTAGGACCTTTAACATTGTTTGATGAGTCCATGATTTGCCACTAAGTGCTGACTTCACCTGTTGCACTGAATGTGCTCATAGCGTCATAGAACAAGGGTTAAATCAGCCTGTTGTTTTGTAGTTCTGTTCATCCTTTGAGTAGATACTCATGTTAAATTAGTCTATCCGGATAAGAGCGACTAATCCAGGATAAACACAGCCAGATTTCTGCGTGATGATATAACTCCCAGATGGGGGGCAAGCCACATTTCCTAATTGATTACACTGAAAAATCACAATCTTGAACCTGATCGTTTCTATTATTGACAAGACTCTGGAACTTGCAATATAACAACAGTAATCTGATATTTAAAGGTGCACCTTTCTAGTGTGTGGAATGTTCGCTATCTTCTTGTCTCCATGGAGATGTTACTGATTTCCCTGGAATGTTCCCTGGGATGATATGAAACATTGGCCAGGCTGGCGCCACCCAGTGCCTCCACTCAGTTTCATTTCTCTCCAGTGATTAGGTCAGGAATCGGAATACACTAGACGGTTTGCAAGAACCCCGTAGACCGTGCATTGGCCAATCAGCGAAGAGCTGTGAAGCCATGACGTCAAACTCAAGCGCCTGTCTTGGTCCCTTTTGTGGTACAGCACAACAGTAAATAAAGAGGTCCAGATGGTTGTAGATGAAGACATACATATGATTCCTGAGATTGAGGATTTTCTCTCTCTGCTTTGTTTGCTGTTGTGCCGGCAATTACTTGGACAGAACAAAGTATTCCGGCAAATTACATGCGTCACAACCAAATAGCAGCGATTGGTTAAATAAAAAAAGTACCCGCCTAATGTCGAGCGAACAAATCCTAATGCTGCGAGGTCAGACGGTTTCCACGAAGTGAAACTGGCTGATCAATCACGCTAATTAAACATATCCATCTAGCATTTATTCATTATGGATGTTTCTATTGCTCAAAAATCCAATAATTCCTATTGTGAATGGGGGCGACTCTCCACAGATCTGAACTGTAATGTCGTGTGGTGCTTTAACCTGCTTATCTCCCTCATGATAGATTTAGAGGTTTAATCTATACCGTGGAACATTCTAGACAAAGCAATAACATTTTCACAGAGACAAGCAGTATTGTGAACCCTTCATCAGAAAAGTTACGCAATGCACCTTTTACACAGTATTCACTTTAGCCGACTGACACCATCTGTATTAAATATTAGTGGAGTTCTTGAATCCCTCATCAATGACTTTTCTTCATTCAGAAAATCCAGTGCCTGTGAAAGTACCACAACTGCTGCACAGATTTCACTCTAATTGACTTTTAATACGCCTTTTTCTTTCCAGTTGTCTCCCTTTTCTCCGCTGTGTTATAAATGATGAATGAGCCTGATCATGTTTCTGTTAGTACTCCCCAGAACTGTGAAGCATATTTGTAGCCTAAATTATAATGAATGGCTGATTGTAGTCAGTGTTTTGTTTTATTGTGTTTATAGCAAAGACACGAAGGAGGGGAAAGAACAGAGAAAAAAAGATCTGTCAGTTTCAAAATTTGTGCTGAGTTTACACAGATGGCTTAAAGTAAACAAGTTTCATGCATAAATTTGACCTAAATGTTTGTATTCATTTGATTAAACGTTGGATACGTAGAATTACTATGCAAAATGTCTTAAATGTGACTCATCTGTGTGCCCAGATGCTCAAATCAAATGTTGCTTTTACTGATAAGACTGAATCAACATTAGACTTCTTAATTACAAAAACATTGTAGTTGATGACTGCATTGTTTGTTTGTATTTGGTGTTTTTCGTTCACATGACGATTATTCAGTGAGAAAGGAGAAGGAGCCTCACAGGAATCTCTTATTTGGGTTGCTGCTTCCAGTGCCGAAATCCAGTTGGTTTAAACCGAAAAGACTCTCCCTGATCTGAATCGTCACAACCTAAACTCCAGCACCTGCAGCCATGAATTAATTGTTCATCAGTGCTCGTGCTAATGCTGTTACTGTAAGAGAATTGAAGTCATTTATCTTCCGCGTACATCTTCGTTTAACACTGACTCACAAAAGCTATGATCTTCCCTTGGCACACCATTGGAACCATTATCTAA